ACATCCTACTCTAAGCTTTCACCGCGTCACCAACCAACACTTGATCCACCAAGACATCATCTTATACCATTTAGGTGATCATTCCAAAAGATAACACAAACATTCAAACATACAAAAGAGAAAGATATGCTAATGTACCAAAAACAATTATATAATTTAGATATATCAATTCCATTTTGACCAAAACAACATACCGTAGGTTTTGTAGGTTTTATTAATTTTTACTCTGCTAGTTTAGAAATCAGTTTTTTAGAAATCGAGTTTTGAACATGCTCTTGGAGTTTTTGTTAAAAAAAACATGCTAATACAAAAACATGTTCAAAATTGATCCGAAATATTGAACTAGAAAAGTAAAAGTGTGTTATCTTGGTAAATAAAAACCTATATTATGTTATTTTGGTAAAATAAAGTTGAGAGGGTGTTATGTGTGAACAGTTCACAAAGGTAGCCCCGTGTGGTCTCCCTTTTCAAGATGCTATCTTTTCCATTCGAAGTGTGTCCTTTTAGCAAAAGTAGGGGTGTGATGAGCACACTCCCTTTAGCTAGGCCCTTCGTTCTTATATAAATTAACAACCTCAAAAAGGGAGTGTCATCAGCAAACCTACAAAATAAACACACCAAATTATAAACTAATCACAAAGAAAAATGGTAAAAAAGCTCAAAGAATGTGAGAAAAAGTCACCATTTTAGTCATGCTCATAGTGATCCTCCTAAGAATAATGTGTCTAGTCTCGTGAGGTGTCATTAACTTATCAATAAGCAAATGTGGATTATTAAGGTAATTTATTGGCAATATCATTGATTGAGAGATTATGCCTTGTTAACATCATTATTTGGCATATCATAATTCATTGAATTTATGGTTATGTCAATTTTGTTATTGACAATATATTTGATTGTGTGTGTTTTTAGTCCATATTAAGTCTTGAACCTTGTTACGACAAAACGACAAGTGTATCGATCGTACATAACAAATGATAAATATTGTTATCTTCAAAGGGATTTATACAACATATGATAAATATTGCAATTCAAAACTTAACCAGACAACAAAGTTTGTAAAAACCCAAAACATTTTTTTGTATTTTTACCAAAGAATTGGTATGCAACATAAATTTAAAGTAAAGTATGTACAAATGTCAAAACTATATTTCATTCACTTCATTTTTATGCATTCACAAACACGTAAATTTTACATTCAAGTCAAAATCAACTCATAGATATATTTAAATACTGTTTGTAATGATTTTGAGCATGTGATAATTATTAAGTTTCAATTCATTAAATTCTCTAAAAAAAACCATGTATAAATTCTATAATTTTAAGATTATTAATGAATTATGTTTTAAGTTAAGATACAAACTCCATTAAGTATTTAATTTTAGTTTTAGGTTTAAAGGATACTTTTCAACACCACAAAAACAAAAGATCAAGTCATGGGATAAAGGCACAACAAGCATTAAACACATAAATCAAAGAATTGAAAAAAACTTCCACTAGTTGTGTTATCCAAAGTTTTTTATGGCATTATACTTCAATCTTGACATGCAGATTGGATCACTGAAGTTAAGATAATATCCACTTATTAAAAAAGTAATTACACTTTTAAAAAAATAAAATTTTACATTTAATTTGAGAACTTTTAATTGCTGTTATTAAATTTTTGCATTATATTTAGTCTTTAAAATTTGAAAACTTCTCAATTAACTCTCAACATGTATTCTAACAATTATTTTACATTTTTATTGGCTTAAATATTGTCAATTTTGTTATAAGAGAACACAACGGTAATAATATTCTTTCACATTTTCAATTTAATCGAAATTGTTTTAAAGTTAATTAAAATTATAAAATTGCAAATAATAAAATACATAATTATAATTTTATGAAATGCAAAAATGAAAAAAATTATAAAGCTATCAAATTATAAACTACGAAATATAAAATTATAGAATTTTAATATTATAAAATTATAAAATTATAAAATTACAAAATTACAAAATTATGAAATTATAAATTACGAAATATAAAATTATATAAAATTATAANTTTTGAACATGCTCTTGGAGTTTTTGTTAAAAAAAACATGCTAATACAAAAACATGTTCAAAATTGATCCGAAATATTGAACTAGAAAAGTAAAAGTGTGTTATCTTGGTAAATAAAAACCTATATTATGTTATTTTGGTAAAATAAAGTTGAGAGGGTGTTATGTGTGAACAGTTCACAAAGGTAGCCCCGTGTGGTCTCCCTTTTCAAGATGCTATCTTTTCCATTCGAAGTGTGTCCTTTTAGCAAAAGTAGGGGTGTGATGAGCACACTCCCTTTAGCTAGGCCCTTCGTTCTTATATAAATTAACAACCTCAAAAAGGGAGTGTCATCAGCAAACCTACAAAATAAACACACCAAATTATAAACTAATCACAAAGAAAAATGGTAAAAAAGCTCAAAGAATGTGAGAAAAAGTCACCATTTTAGTCATGCTCATAGTGATCCTCCTAAGAATAATGTGTCTAGTCTCGTGAGGTGTCATTAACTTATCAATAAGCAAATGTGGATTATTAAGGTAATTTATTGGCAATATCATTGATTGAGAGATTATGCCTTGTTAACATCATTATTTGGCATATCATAATTCATTGAATTTATGGTTATGTCAATTTTGTTATTGACAATATATTTGATTGTGTGTGTTTTTAGTCCATATTAAGTCTTGAACCTTGTTACGACAAAACGACAAGTGTATCGATCGTACATAACAAATGATAAATATTGTTATCTTCAAAGGGATTTATACAACATATGATAAATATTGCAATTCAAAACTTAACCAGACAACAAAGTTTGTAAAAACCCAAAACATTTTTTTGTATTTTTACCAAAGAATTGGTATGCAACATAAATTTAAAGTAAAGTATGTACAAATGTCAAAACTATATTTCATTCACTTCATTTTTATGCATTCACAAACACGTAAATTTTACATTCAAGTCAAAATCAACTCATAGATATATTTAAATACTGTTTGTAATGATTTTGAGCATGTGATAATTATTAAGTTTCAATTCATTAAATTCTCTAAAAAAAACCATGTATAAATTCTATAATTTTAAGATTATTAATGAATTATGTTTTAAGTTAAGATACAAACTCCATTAAGTATTTAATTTTAGTTTTAGGTTTAAAGGATACTTTTCAACACCACAAAAACAAAAGATCAAGTCATGGGATAAAGGCACAACAAGCATTAAACACATAAATCAAAGAATTGAAAAAAACTTCCACTAGTTGTGTTATCCAAAGTTTTTTATGGCATTATACTTCAATCTTGACATGCAGATTGGATCACTGAAGTTAAGATAATATCCACTTATTAAAAAAGTAATTACACTTTTAAAAAAATAAAATTTTACATTTAATTTGAGAACTTTTAATTGCTGTTATTAAAATTTTGTATTATATTTAGTCTTTAAAATTTGAAAACTTCTCAATTAACTCTCAACATGTATTCTAACAATTATTTTACATTTTTATTGGCTTAAATATTGTCAATTTTGTTATAAGAGAACACAACGGTAATAATATTCTTTCACATTTTCAATTTAATCGAAATTGTTTTAAAGTTAATTAAAATTATAAAATTGCAAATAATAAAATACATAATTATAATTTTATGAAATGCAAAAATGAAAAAAATTATAAAGCTATCAAATTATAAACTACGAAATATAAAATTATAGAATTTTAATATTATAAAATTATAAAATTATAAAATTACAAAATTACAAAATTATGAAATTATAAATTACGAAATATAAAATTATATAAAATTATAAAAAATTATAAAAAATTATAAAATTATAGAATTATAATATTATAATATTATAAAGTTATGAAACTATAAAATTATAAAACTATAAAATCACAATAAAATTATAATATTACAAAGTTATAAAATAATAAAATTACAAAATTATAAATTTATAAACTTATACAATTATAAAATTATAAAATTTTAAAATTAAAAAATACAAATATATAAAATTATAAAATAATTAAATTATAAAATTATTAATTTATAAAATTGTAAAATTATAAAATTAAAAGTTATAATTGTTTTTTAGAACTTAACATAGTTGCACTAATTTATTACCATAAAAAGTTGAAACTCCCCTTTTCAAGTGTTACCTATATTTTTATTAGACAACAATACATTATTAATCAACACATATCATTTTCAATTTTTTTTATTGATGTACAAAACACATGCGCATACATTCACTTTCTTTTGTGATAATGAAAAATAATAAAATTATTATAATTTTTATTGTAATCATAAAATTAAAATAATTTTTATAATTTAATTTTAAATAATTTTTATTTATTTTGTAATAAAATAGTTAAATTTAAAAATTAGTAAAATTTAAAAAGTATCACTTAAAAAGTAAAATTAATAAAATATTTATTTTAATTTTAAAAAATATATATTTAAAAATAAAATTAAAAAATAAATGAGAACACCAAAATGAAAAATCCTTTATATATGGATATAAATACATTTTTAAATTTTGTTTTATAAGGTTTAAAAATTTGATTAATTATCTTATTAAATGTTTTTGTTCAACAGTTTCTACTATGCCATATCTATATTACAACATGATCAATGTAATAAAATAGATAACTAAGATAACATATTTTAACTTTCAAATTCTAAAATCCTATCATACAATTTCATTTCTAATAAATATATAGTGGTTCATTTTCTCCATTGGAATACTAGCACATTTTTTTTGTAATACTTATGCATGGAAAATAAATTATATTTTTATTTATTGCATCGACATGTTCTCATTGATTCTTTTTGCTTTTTTGAAGGAATGGACTTCATATATTTATATAAATACTAGTTTAAATGATAATGATTGAATTAAAAAAAAGAAAAGTTTAACGGAACTTATATAAATGTTCCTAGTTAAGTTTTTTTTTTTTTGGGTAAAATAAAAATTCAATCACAATCCACATTGTTGTCCCAAAGGCTAACCCCTTCTTCCTTCTTTCTTCTCTCTTCTCTGAAAACCCTAAAATGGTCTCAATTTGCATTTGGTCCATGGAAGCATGATTCTCTCTTAAACCCTCCCTCTCGATTCATTCCCGAACCTCGAATCTCACGCTTCCACCTTCGTCCAAATGTCTCTTTCATCCATAGAGTCTATATACGTAACAGAGGAGTGTGTTCGCGAATGGAGGAGTGGCAACCCTGCCCTCAAGGTCGCCCAAGCTGTCCCCATGTTGCGATTCCTCTACGAGCTCTGTTGGACTATGGTACTAACTAATCACGATTTTCGTTGTTTCTTTATTATTTTATTTGGGGTTTAAATTGAAATTTTGGAATTTGGGTGGCGACTTCAATGCTACGAATTGCTTCATTTTGTGATAAGGGACTGATTTTTTGTTCTGGTTCTTCCAGGTTACGGGTGAACTGCCGTTTCCCAAGTGTAAAGTTGCGTTGGATTCTGTCATCTTTTCAGAACAAGCTTCCAGTGACAAAATAGCTTCGAATTTTGCTGATATAGTGACCCAGATGGCTCAAGATGTGAGTTATGCTGCTGCTCTGCTCTTGTGATATAGTTGATTGTCAGTCTTTTTCATTTTTTTTTATCTTCCTTCTTTTTTTCTCCTAGCTATGTCTTATAGCTTATATTCTCTCTCTCAAACACACACTTTTCTTTTCCTTTTCTTTTCCGTATCAATCAACTAATACGTGCAAACATCTGAAAATTATCCGTGTCATGAGCAACACGAAATCTGCAGGGACACTTTGAAAGGTTTTTGTTTTACAATTATGTACTTATACATTTTAAACTTTTATAACTCTAGGATTGAATGCTGTAATAACTAAGAAGCAAACAGTATTGGCTTGTATTGCTTATATGTTGCTTGGAAATGTCAAATACACCTTTGTTGCATTTTATAAGTTTTTGTTTAATATATATTTTAACTTTTGTGTCAATAAGTTCAAATGGCATAATAACTAAGAAACACAAACCCAAGGTTTCATTGTAATCCTTGATCTTGCGGGATATTGTGGACAACAAATGTGACCGAAGTCTGGTCACCAAGATCCCCAAATGTGAATGAATTTATTGTAACTGAGGGTTTCACGTAGAATTCAAAATTCATGATGCTGGGTCACAGTTTTTTTGAAATGTACTTTATGTACATTAACCTTTTTTTATAGGGAGCTGTGTTGTGTTGGACTTGCCAATTGCTTTAGTTTTGCTTGTGTATGTTTTTTCTTTTTATTTATATTTAAACTTTTGTGTCAGTAACACTGAATGCTATATTAATTAGATAACTCTTGCCATTTTATTATGTTTACTATGTCTAGTTCTATTTCAAAATATAAATTCTCTCTCCTGATTAAAAATATTCTTTTCTATTTGTTAAATTTACATTGATTTATAGTCTATAGCTTTTAATTTACCCCATTTTACATCTGCATCATGTGTTGTATTTGTGCCTTCTATAGAATTTAGGTGGTTATAACAAAAATGGTATCAAGGGTAATTTGTAACCCAAATTACTTATCAAATTCAAAGGGAAGTTTTATAGTATTGCTATACAACCAATTAAATTATGATAGTAAATGTGATATTGACTTTAGATTAGGTAGAGGGTCTCTCGTAAAGAAATAAAAAATTGTTTAAAATGGATTTGGGCCACTTGAAAAGGGGCATGATGTTGAATGGCTCTATACAAAAAGATATTGGTTTTATGACAAGTATTCGAGTAAAATATGATTAAGAACTTGGTTAAAATGGTTTCACCACATGCAGAGTAGGTTAGTGGTTGGGAGTTTAGAGTACTTGGTTTTTGGCATTTTGAAATGACGTCAAAGGAGACTAGGAATAACAATGGTAGAATTATTGAGCAGGGGATCTCATGGTGAATACTATTTGTAGGAAGTTGGTTTTCATCTGTGGCCAATGATGTAATTTAATACGTTTAGCTGATTTCCCTTAACGGGGATAAGGCTATTGTTATTGCTGTTTCATGTTTACTGTGACTTATTTTCACTTTTAAAACCTTAATTCACACCTGTATCAAGGAGAGTAACAAAATTGCAATGAAAATAATTTCCCTGCAAATACCAATTCTTGTTATGAAATCTCAGTTGTGTCTTAGATATATTATATATTATATATTATTTGAGATTTTGAACGTTTAGTTGTGGCAATGACTTTTCTTACTTTTGATTAATGCCTTTGATTTGAATTGTTGTAAATTATATTGAGCTCTTTATATGTATTGTCGGTTTTTTTGTGTGTCATTTGTGATGGGGGGAGACGTGAAATAAATATAACTGGTGTTTTCAATTTCTACTGTATTGTTTGTAGTAAAAACCGCTTCTTATTGTAATTATGTGCTACG